TATATATACTGTGTATATACAGTATATACATATATATATCAAACTCACTCTATCCATGGGCTCCATATATCTGGAAAGATTTTTATTTGTCTATTTTTGTCTGAACAAAGACTGAAATACAAACAAGCTGAAGTAAAATAGAAATGAAATACTTTTTACATTTTTAAAATGTAAGGAGTAGAAAGTACAGATAATTGCATGAAAATGTAAGAAGTAGAAGTAAAATGTAGGTTGAAAAATAATTACTCCACTAAAGTATAAATAACTCAAATTTATACTTAAGTAATGTAACTAAGTATTTGTACTTAGTTACTTGACACATCTGTTGACAGGCTTTACTGGTGATTAAAACTAATCTAGTATTATAAAGAGAAAAATCCACTAATATCTAAACGGAGTCATGAATAAGTCTTTCAAAGTTTGTAAGTCATTTGTACCTTTGTCACATTCTAGTTTTGTGGATTTGATCATTTTGTACCCACACTTGATGGTTAGGAAGAAAGGTGGTCTTTGTACCCACCTTCAGTTGTCCTGACAATGACAGGAGCAGGTCAACTATATATATGGGGCCCCACCTCGGTCCTATCAAAGCCGGTTGGACCGATGTACGTCTCCCGAAAGCTTACTTTTTCTTCAGCTTCGGAAGCCGGTGAGGCCACGATTCTTAGAGGGCTGCCCTTACACTCATAGAATCTGGGGTTACAGTACGCAACCAACGTCTTATTACGTGTAAGCTCCACCCTCTAAGGCTATCGCTGATGGGTATAGAGGCGGAGCCCGATGTAGTCTGCGCCTCACCGGCTAGACAGACTCGTGAAGCTTCCGCCCAAGAACCCCAGATGTTACAGGAGCATGGGCCAGGACAACATCTGACCTTCACAGTGAACAGCTGCATCAGCCCCAGTCCCTCACATAATTCCAATGATGTGAGGGAAAAGGCCCAAGTGCTGTGTGTGAAGTCATTTCACGCATAATCCGTCACTTGTCCGCCCTATCTGGCAACCCATCTTCTACTCCGACAAAGTCCTGAGAACAGAGTGGGTCAGAGAGGAGCCTGAAACATCCCACAGGTAAAAACAGATGAAAAGATAAGTGAATAACCAGGACGCATCAGAGCAAATGTCCTGGACTGACATTCCACTGTACAAGGCAGTGGAGGAGGATATTCCCCTTGTGGAATGAGCTGACAGCGCAGCTGGAGGCTGCAGGCCAGATGAAGTGTAAGCCTGAGAGATAGCCTCACAGATCCAATGTGACAGCCTCTGAGGAGACAGAGGTTGACCCACAGACTGCTCTCTGTAATGAACAAGCAGGCACTGAGAGTGTTTAATCTGAGCCAAGTGCGTTACATAACATGAGAGCACACACACCGGACACAGCAGATGTGAGGCTTCTTCCTCAGAATCATGGGGAGGAGGTCATAAGCCATCCAGAGAGATGACTCTGGATCTAAAAGACCTCGTTAAGCTGTTAGGTGTGAAAAACTGGGTTAGGACGCAGGATCGCAGAGCTGCCGTCCCCCCGTGTCCTGAGACAGGACGGAGACACAGACAAAGATGACAGCTGGCTGATTGTCTTTGCTGCTGTTAAAACTAACAACAGCGCTGTCATCGGAGACAGAAAACTTAAGAGAGGTCTGATCCAAAGGCACAACAGGAGCTTTAGTCTGGGTGTGAAACACCAGTGTTAAAAAAACCCCACTGTGGAGCGAAAGTGCGTGTGACAGGTCTGTTCCTGCGCACACCCCTTAGGAATCGCTTAACCAGTGGATGGTTAAAAACCGTCCTGTCACCAAAACCCTTGTGACAGGAAGAAATCACTGCAGCATATGTTCTAACAGTGCTGAAAACCAAATCTCTGTCCATATACACACTCAGTGACATCAGAAACCCCAGGATCTGAACACCTGTTTGTGAGCAGTTGTGAGCATGCATGTATATACAAGATTTCTCCAGCTGAATATTTAATAATGACTGTGGAGGACCACAGACCTGACCCCCAAGGGCAGAGGCAGACATAAGAAAGACCAGAGCCAAAGAAATGAAATTCTAACTTTTAAAGTCAATGTTTTATAATAATTACTTTTTTCATTTTATTATTATTTATTATTATTATTATTTTTACTAACATTTCATTTACTTCCTGTGGAGCGGCTCAAACATTATTAGAAATGTATTGCAAAAGAAGTAATGATAAAAAAAGAATAAGTAAAAGTACAACTGTCTCAATATGTCATTGGTAAACAAATGTAGATTACCTTCACTGTTGTAAAAATAAATTTATTTTGTACCATTTTGGTTTCCATGATACAACTAGATAGAGCCAAACTGGTTTCTGTCAACATTTCTTAGAAGTTATATGTTTTGCATCTATAGAAATACATCAATTTTACTTAACTTTAGAACGATTTATTTTTAGATATCAGGTCTTTTTTGTTATTTTTTATATACCAAAAAGGTACATTTTGCATTGAGAAGAAGCACAATTAGGACAAAAAATATTTATATTTGAAATTATTTACTTTAGAGTGGACAGGACCATTTTTTTCATCTTAGTTTATTATTGAGCCCTTTGCTGATTTAAGTTTTGCTTCATGAATAATGATTGCTGTTCAAAAATGCATGTTTGTTCCATTCTGTACCATTTTTTAAATCTTGTATTAAATGCTGATTCATTTTTTCTCACCTCCATCAAAAAATAATTCACATGCTGACTTTAATAAGGAGCTGTTTGTTATTAAAGTGCCTCACACGTAAGAACCACCAACACATCAGGGAGGCTGCAGAACATCCACTTACCCCTCGAACGTGTCCTTGGCGAGAGCGACCGCAAACAATGCGGCGAAAGCGAGCAGCCCCTTCATCACGACCACCTGTGTAAACCTGACTCGGCCAAACGCAGACTTTTATGTCCGAGTTGGGTCACGTGTGCCCACCTCGACCTTGATCAGGGTGATACAGCCATGTCACCAGCTGCTACTGTTCCCATGACGGCCTGGAGATACCAAAGGTTATTGAGTAGTGCACAGGTCAGCAACCTTTATAAAATATTTTTTAAAATAATTTTAGCACTTTTCTCTCACTAAATCAAAAGCCACAGAACCTACAGGCCACTTGTATCAGTATGAATGTGTTACTTTGTAAAAAGAAAGCATGAGAGTGAACATAACCTTGCTGAGTTAACTGTGAATTGATACATTTTCTCTCACAAAGGCAGAAACCTTTGGTTGCTTGACCTTTTATTCAAATATTTTTAGGTCTTTATTTCTATTTTTAATGTTATCAGAGTGACTTAATGACTAATAGCATTATTAAATGTTTGTAAAACAGCAGGTTTCTGTTTTCTCCATACCAACCTGCCTTTGTTGTGATAAAAAGGTTTAATTTTCTTGTGGATTTCAAAGGTACATCTGTAGCTGTAATTTGAGTGCAACACACTGAGTGACATTTTTTCTTAAAACATCATCCTTAACTGCTGCAGTCAGCCCTATCCCCAGGTGGAAAAAATATTATACTAAGTATACTAAATCTAAGTATACTTTAGTATACTTTAAGCCGCACTAATCATCAGTATACTTAAAGAGTGCTATTTTGGAACAACTAATTTAATACTAAATTTACTTTAGTTGTATTTAAGTTGTACAAAAGCACAATTTTAAGTGTTTTAAGTATACTTTTAAATACTAAAATGGAACAGCTTCAAATATACTTAGTACACTTTAAGTGTAAAGCTTTTGTCTATACACTTAAAGTGTACTAAGTATATTTGAAGTTGTTCTACAAGTTGGCTACAACTCTGTTATTTCCCACCAAATAATGGTCTTTGTTGAAAACCCTGACATGACATCCACTTCTTCAAGTTTAGTTCATGTTCTGGCTGCAGATCAAGATAAAATATGTTTGTGTTTATCATTGATGTGCCATAAGTTCCTCCATTCTGTAAAACTGACATTTTAGTTTAAAAAACTGGAAATGAAATTTGTTAATTTTTAATTAATGACATATTCCCCATTTTAAGTGACACTGAACTTACATACAATCTGTTAAATGAATTTTGAAGATGACTTATTTGTGCAAAAATATTGACCGTTTTTATCATCCACAAATATAAAACCATTTATCACAATGCTAAACTATTTTTCTTTACAGTACTTACGTATAAATCCTGTCTGCTGTCTTTAGTTGGTTACACAACTGAACTGATAAGGTCAAACAAAAAAACAGAGTGGTGTAGAAAACACCTGCAGGATTCACAGTGACTTACAAAAAACAGAGTTCCACCTCATCGTCCAAATGTCCCGTTGTTCCTGGAAAAATAAAACCCAGAGCTCCTAAACGCTCAGTTCAGACTTCACTGAAGCCATCAGCTGTGCAAACTGAGCGGAGATGAGAAAGCAGTCTAACTTCTGTTTAGCTCTGAAACAGCACTTTAAGACAACAGAACTTCCTATTTCACATGAAACATTATGTAAAGATCAAACACAGACGGCTAAATATTCAGCTGATTCTGGAAGTTTACTCCCTTATAAAGACTTGAATATGTTTCTAACATTTAGAGTACTTTTATTTTATTGTACAGATACAAAATATGTACTTTAAATCCATAGAACATGTACGTGTACACAACATAAATATTACAAACGAGTGTGCATGTCACTGAGTGAAATATTTATTTAAGTTAAAAACCCTTCAGTCTCATTTATAGGAGACTCATTTGTGTGTCTCAAGTGTGTATTTTTTCTTGCACCTCCTGATGAGACCCCATTTTGTGCTTTACCCCTGTCAGAACTAGTTTCTTAGGGTCTGCACAAAAGCATCGTGTGATTGGTCAGAACTTCCTGGGTGTGTTTGTTCAGGAAAAGCAAATGTTCCAGCAGAAACCAGTCGAGTCACAGAACTCATGGAAGAAAAACATTTTCTTGCTTTTCTCACTGCCGTCTCATAACCATTCCAGTATTTTCTTGCCCCTGAAGTGCATGCAAATTAATCTGTAACATATGGTTTTTAATTATAATCCTGCCTTTTTCTCTTAAAGGGATCCACGGTTAGTTGTAACATTAAACTTTATTTGATAAACATATATTTAACTGTAAAATAAAGACTGTAAAAATAGGCTGTTTAGTTTTGTACATTTTTTAAAAATATATTTTATCATCTGGGAGGGACTCAGAGTAGAGCCGCTGCTCCTCCACGTCGAGAGGAGCCAGTTGAGGTGGCTCGGGCATCTGGTAAGGATGCCTCCTGG